AGTAGAAAATGGCCCAAGTCCTTGGGCCCCTGTACCCGCCTGGGAGACCTGAAGGAAGCTCCTGGCTCCTGGCTTCAGATTGGCCCAGCTCCAGCCGTTGCAGCCATCTGGGGAGTGAACCAGCAGACGAAGATCTCTCTGCCTCTGCCTCTCTGTAACTCTGTCTTTCAAATAAATAAATAAATCTTAAAACAAAAAACATCACAAGTCTAGTTACAGGGACTGTCTAAACAAAGAACTTGATGAAGAGAGGAGTGAGGGGGAGATTTAAAAACTCTGTACATACAGTTGTTTCTAAAGTTCTTCTTTGGAGATAATTTTAGAGTTTGAAGTTCCTGTATACCCCTGATTCAGCTTCTCATAATGCATTTGTCAAAACTAAGAAAATAACATTGATACGACAGTTAACCAAACTAGACAATTTGGATCTCCCCAGTTTTTCCACTACTATCTTTGTTTTGTGTCAGGTTTCTTTCTTTCTCTTTTTTATTTGACAGGTTGAGTTACAGTGAGAGAGACAGAGAGAAAGGTCTTCCTTTTGTTGGTTCACTCCCCAAATGGCCACCGTGGCCGGCGCTATGCCAATCCGAAGCCAGGAGCCAGGTGCTTCTTCCTGGTCTCCCATGGGGTGCAGGGCTCAAGCACTTGGGCCATCCTCCACTGCCCTCCCGGGCCACAGCAGAGAGCTGGACTGGAAGAGGAGCAACCGGGACTAGAACTGGATGCCCATATGGGATGCCAGCACCGCAGGCAGGATTAACCAAGTGAGCCATGGCGCCGGCCCCAGTACCAGGTTTCAATCCAACGCACCACACAGCATTCGGCATGCATGCTTTTGAACTGTTCACATTTTATTAGGAGTATGAACTACTTTTAAAAATCTCAACTTTCTTTTTAACCAAATGTATGATCATAGTGTTCACACGATATTGGTGCTTTGAGGAGATATTTTGCTTTTTTAAGCTAGAAGTAAGTATTTAACATGGTAATAAAGTATTTTTAGATAATCATTGTGAATCATCCAACTTTCAGGATTTTTTAAAACTTAACCCATTTGCCACTCTTCTGCTATTATTAGGGTTAATTTATGGGTCTGATTCAGTCACAAACACTGGAGCTGCAAATTTGCAAAGCACCATCTGTAAACTCTCACTGCTTCACATTCTGCCTTCTTCGCTCTGATTATCTATTATGCAAGTACATTTTTCTAAGAAATTATATTCAATCATCTATTCATTGAAATACTAGGAAGGGTTGGCTGATAGTGCAGGTATGGCACTTCAAAGCCAGTTTTTAAGTTTTTTGAAGATCTCGATCCCATTTGACATGATCTGAAATTTACATATTAGACAACATTAAAAAGAGCAAGAAGTACACATGTGTCCTAACGTTCACCACCTAAGACGACGAGTGGTCAGTGCAAATGGACAGAGTGCAGCAGCTCACGGCGCTACAGCAGCCTGGGCTTCCCGCGCAAGTGGCTACCTCCACGTCCATCAGATTTAAAAAGACCCAAACCACATTTCTTGCTGTTTTCCAAATCCAGACTACAGGTGTGTTTAAGTTTCAAAATTTTCAAATCTGTTTTCAAAATCCCCACGTTGCCCCGTCCCCAGAACACTGAAAGATCCGCCAGCGCCAAACCCCTGCACGGCCAGGTGGTCTCAGCGAGGAAGCGGTGCCCGGGCCCTCGTGCGCCACAGTCCCTAGCCGGCCACCCTCACTCTATGTGCCTGCCTGCAGTTACCGAATTGGCAAAGACCTTTTAAGATGTATGTATGTATGCATGTGTGTATCTATTTGAAAGACAGAATTACAGAGAGAAAGGGACAGAGAAATCTTGCGTTTGCTGGCTCCCTCCCTAAATGGCTGCAACAGGCAGATCTGGGCCGGGCTGAAACCAGGAACTCCCTTCTGTCCTCCACCTGGGTAGCAGGAGCACAAGTGCCTGGGTCTTCCATTGCCTTCCCGGCCAGTGGTCTGGGAAAGCAGCAGAGAATAGCCCAAGTGTTTAGGTCTCTGCCACCCATGTGAGAGACCTGGAAGAAGCTCCTGGCTTTAGCCTGGCCCAGTGTTGGCCATTACAGCCATCTGGGGAGTGAACCACTAGATAGATCTTTCTGTTACTTTGTCTTTCAAATAATAAGTCTTTAGGGGCCAGTGTTGTGGCGCAGCAGGTTAAAGCCCTGGCCTGCCAACATCCAATATGGGCGCCGGGTTTTTGTGTCAGCTGCTCCACTTCCGATCCAGCTCTCTGCTGTGGCCTGGGAAAGCAGTGGAAGATGGCCCAAGTCCTTTGGCCCCTGCACCTGCGTGAGAGACCCGGAAGAAGCTCCTGGCTCCTGATCAGCTCAGCTCTGGCCGTTGCGGCCATTTGGGGAGTGAACCAGTGGATGGAAGACCTCTCTCTCTTTGACTCTACCTCTCTGTAACTCTTTCAAATAAATAAAATCTTTAAAAAAGTAAATAAATCTTTAGGGACCAGTGCTGTGGCATAGTAGGTTAAGCATCTGCCTATGGTGCTGCATCCCATATGAGCGCTGGTTTGAGTCTTAGCTGCTCCGCTTCTGATCCAGCTCCCTGCTGATGGCCTAGAAAAGCAATGGAAGATGACCCCTGGACCTACGTGGGAGACCCAGAAGCTCTTGGCTCCTGGCTTCGGACTGGCCCTGCTCCAACAGTTGTGGTCATCTGTCTCTCCACCTCTCAGGTAAATAAATAAATCTTTAGAAACACACACACACACACACACCAAAGAGCCAGGGTCGGCATCCTATACATGAATGCTAGTGGCCTGGGAAAGCAACAGAGGATGGTCCAAGTAGTTGGGCCCCTGCACCCTCGTGGGAGACCTGGAAAAAGCTCCTGGCTCCTGGCTTTGGACTGGCCCAGCTCTGACCACTGAGGCCACCTGGGGAGTGAACCAGTGAATAGAAGCTCACTCTCTCTGTCTCTCCCTCTCTAACTCTGCCTTTCAAATAAATAAAAAAGACCAAAGACTGATACACTCTGGGTACTCACTGATGTGATCAGCATTTTCTGTGGGTACCTCCAGAAAAGCTGTGGGGAGCAACTCAGACTAGACTAAGTTACTGGAATTAAGACTTATTCTATGCATCTGCTCTCCCACAATATGGCGCTGGGAGAGGAGAAAACAGCTTCTACCCAGCTGCCTCCAGTTCAACCAATAAACTGTGGGACCTGCTCCTGATTGGAGGAGAGCAGCATACTCGGCGTGTGGGCAGCCGAGTTGGGATTGGCGGAGGAGGACTATAAAGGAGGAGAGAGACGGCATGCACCAGGAACATCTAAGGGGAACATCTAAGGGGAACACCTGTGCAGCCCCCGAGAGAGCCGGCCGGCGGTGTGCCGCTCCCCTGCGGAAGTGGGGAATGTGGCCAGGGGGAACTGCCCTTCCACGGAGGTGGAAGGGATAGTAGCCAACCCGGGAAGAACCAGCAGCAAACCCGGGGAGGGCCGAGCAGACAAAAGAACAGCGCAGGGTCCTGTGTTGCTCCTCCACGAAGAGGGGGAGCGACAAAAGCCATGAATTTGACTAAGCGATGATGGATGCCTAGGGTGCCATAGGCAGTGGAGACAGAAGCGGTCAGATTTAAAGTGTTTGCGGGGAGAAATGGTTCAAGAGTGCAGGTCCCTCCTGACTTGCAGAGGAGCCTGGGAAGGGAGCGTCCGATGCTGCTGCGTCTTGCCAGTGAGGAAGCCGGCGGGGGGGGGGGGGGGGCCGCTGGGCAGCCCGAGCTGTGAGGCAGGACTGCCTCTGCTGGGACACAGACGCTCTGCTCAGCGGTTTGGTTGGTTCGCTGTGCTCACAGCAACTGTTTCGACTCGGCTGAACTCCTGCTAAGTTCCAGTTCACTCAAGGCTTCCCTCGCCTGCAAGCACTGGGCAAGGAGACTGCTGCTGATTAAAGGGGACGCCCATCTTCTATCAACGTTGCTCCTCTCCGCCTCCGTCTTAGCCATGGGGCCACCGGGAAGGCACATGTGATAGGAGCCTTCTCCCCCCTTGCCTGCAGCAACCTTTCCAAAAATGGCGTTAAAAGGCAGACAGAAAACACCTAGGTAATTCATAATTTTCTGCTTTTAAGATGCCAAATAATGGGGCTGGCGCTGTGGCGCAGTGGGTTAATGCCCTGGGGCCTGAAGCGCTGGTATCCCATATGGGCGCCGATTCGAGACCCAAGTCCTTGGGCCCCTGCTCCGGCGTGGGAGACCCAGAAGAAACTCCTGGCTCCTGGCTTCGGATCAGCACAGCTCTGGCCATTGCGACCAACTGGGGAGTGAACCATCGGATGGAGGCTCGCTCTCTCTCTGCCTCTCCTCTCTCTGTAACTCTGACTTGCAAATAAAATAAATCTTTAAAAAAAAAAGATGCCAAATAATTGAAGTAAGGTTAGAAACTAGAGACGGTGTCAGCACACAGACTTCATGTGAACTACACGGGTCTGCAGAAAGCTGTGGAAAATGCATGTCGTGGAGAGATTATGTACAGATCTCAAAATATTTTTACACCAAAACACACCTTTCAATTCCATTTCCATGAACTTTTTAAAATATTTTAATAAATTGATTTGAAAAGCAGAGTTCCAGAGAGAGGGAGAGACACACAGATCTTTCACCTGCTGGTTTACTCCCCAAATGGCCGCAATGGGCAGGGCTGGGCTAGGCTGAGGACAGGAGCCTGGAACTCCAACGGGGTCTCCCATGTGGGTACAGGGGCCCAAGTACCTGGGTCGTCTTCTGCTTTCCCAGGCCCATTAGTAAGGAGCTGGATGGGAAGTTGAGCAGCTGGGACTCGAACCAGCACCAACATGGGATGCCAGCGGCACAGGTGGTGGCTAAACCTGCTCCACCATCACGCAAGCCCCTGTGAACTTTTTGAAGTCCCCTCACATTCATATGTTAGATAGACAGATACCCTATTTGTCATCCCAATTCTTTCACATCCAGAGTGCTTCAGAAATTACGGCTCATCACAGGTAGGAATTAACCCTGGCACCACTTTATTTGCAAAATGCTTTCCCACTCCCACACTGTAGTGGTTTTCCTAACATTCCAAACCGACCGCAGAATTATCCTGAAACAACGCAGACAGACGCAAGACTTCCAATGACAAGAGTTTGTTACCTCCACTAACCTACGGGGCTGTGAGATGACACAGTGTACAAAGGCCATCTTCTGAGTACAGCAAACTGGGTCACACAGCTGACCTCAGGCGTGTGGGGGTCCTCAGAAACGGACAAGCTTCCGGGAGAACGCTGCCCTCCCTTGACCGACGCTGGATGGGGGGCTCTGGGACTCCACTCGGGGGGCAGAGGTCTGTGCACGTGTACCCAGGGGCATTTCTGGTGTGTGCACAAGAGCTCTGTCTGTCATCATGCAAGCACAGACTGTCTCACGACAGAGAAACACAAAGTCCTGCTGGGAGTGAAGTGCCTGGGCTGTGGGCTGTGGGCTGTGGGCTCTGGAAGCGGTGCTTCTGGATTCAACAGCTGCCCACACAGACGTCAGCCATTACTCAGAATGGAAGCAGACTCCCGCCATGGCCCACGGCCTCCCCAGCGGCCCCACAGCCCACCTTGCCTCTATACTTGCCGGGACAGCTCGGTATTTGCGCTGGGCTCTCACACTTGTCTCTCTCCCCAGGATTGTTCTCCCAGATTTTCATAACTGGCTCCAGCTCACCATTCAGGTTTTGGATTGAATGTTATTCTGAAGAGGCCCCACAAGTCGACCTATCCAAACCAATAACTAGTGAGTGAATAAGCTAGTGAGTGAATCCGCCCACAAGGCTTTAGACATTTGAAAGCTTTGCTGGCGGACACACGGGATTTCAGTTCTCCGAGTTCCTGCTTCTCTTTAGAAAAAGAAATCTGACCACGGGCCGCTCACAATAAGCAGCTGAGAAGACTGACAGCCGCCGGCTCACTCATGCACCAGACTTCGAATTTGCTGTACACACGAGGAGCTGGGCGTCTCCCAGTTCATGAAAGTGTGGTTTGACGTGGCCCACAGAAACACCTGTACTTACACTGCTGTGAAATGTTCGGGTAAGAGTCAGAACAGGAAAGGCGGATGGAAGGGGGGAGGGCTGAGACACTGCCTGGAAGATCCCAAAGCAAACCACAGAGCAAACAAAATGTGACTGCGTGAACACAGGGTGGACCCTGAGCGAACTTTAAGGCAAGTTGGCAATTCATAAGCGAAACTGACAGGCAAACGGCTTCCTGTAATTCACTGAACTGGAAAGATCTCCCTTCCACACTGATTCAAATGTCCGGCAGGAGGACCACTTCCCGGAGAAGACAACCCATGAACGAAACCTGACGTCTGAATTAGAGACCAGACCCCGCGAACGCCTGACACTGCCCTGAGCACACGCCTTCTGTGGTCAGCTCGGTGAGCCCAGCTCACAGCTTCGCTCCAGGCCTCAGACGGACAGTTCAGAGCGCTTTTCGATCAGCAGCAGGCAGACAAAAACGATGTGCAGTTCGGAATACAAACCCGGTGTCACGGTGCATTTCCCACGTTCAGGGCCCCTCCCGGAAACAGTCACAGCCCCTACACCCTCCCAGCCGCTGCGGCCGGAAGCCCGGTGACCGGCTCCGCCCATTCGATGCTGCGGAACCCAGGCCCTGGCTGCATCCCAGAAGAGAACCCAGCCGCATCCCGGCGGCCCGCGGCTGCGCACCCCTCGCCCTCGCCTCGAGCGGGCGCTCAGTACTGCGGGAAGGAGCCGTCCACCTTGGCGGCCCAGGCCATGAGCCCGCCCGCCACGTCCTGCACCCTCAGCGAGGCCAGCTCCGGCACTCGCGGCAGGGCCTGCAGGAGCCTCACGGCCTTCTGCGAGTCGTTGCCCAGTTTGCAGATCACGTACACGCGGAGCGCCGCGCCCTCCGGGACGGCCCGGCCCTGCTCGCGGATGGCGTCCCCGAGCAGCCGCAGGCTCTCCGCGTCCCTGCGCTCCAGCAGCGTCAAGGGCACGTGCAGCGCATGCGGCAGGCGACAGATGTCCACCTCCACTCGCGGCCGGACGTCCAGCAGCAGGTGCGGCGCCCCGGCATCCAGGAGCCGCTTGTAGTCGGTCACGGAAATGCGCTCCTCGGGGCCCAGGAGCTGCAGGGAGCGGCACTTCTCGGTGGCCGACGAGCCACAGAGGGCTTCGTAGTCCTGCAGGGCGGTCACCGTGGGCCGCTCCCCACAGGCCGCGCAGTCGGGCCTGCGGCCCCGCAGCCGGACGCAGCGGAAGCACCCCGAGAGCGCGTCGAAGAGCAGCAGGCGGCCGCTGTAGGAGGGGCCCAGCCCCGCGGCGATCTTCAGCACCTCCAGCGCCTGCAGGCAGCCCAGGACGCCGGTCACCACGCCCAGCACGCCGCCGTCGGCGCAGCTCGTCACCGTGTCGGCCGGGGGCGGCTGCGGGAACACGCAGCGGTAGCACGGCCCGCCGCCGTAGTGGTACACCGTGATCTGGCCCTCGAAGCGCAGGGCGCTGGCCGACACCAGGGGCCGGCCGGCCAGCACACAGGCGTCGCTCACCAGGTAGCGAGTGGGCGCGTTGTCGGAGCAGTCGGCCACCACGTCGTAGCGCCGGACCAGGTCGAGCGCCGTGGCCGCGGTGAGGGCCTGGGCGTAGGGCACGCACTCCACGGCCGAGTTGAGGCAGCGCAGCGAAGCGGCAGCCGAAAAGACTTTGGCCTGGCCGGCCAGCGCCTCGTCGTGCAGCACCTGGCGGGCCAGGTTGCTCATCTCCACCACGTCGTAGTCCACCAGGCCGAGGCGGCCCACGCCGGCCGCCGCCAGGTACTGCGCCAGCGGGCAGCCGAGCCCCCCGCAGCCGACGATGAGCACGGACGCGGCCGCCAGGCGCAGCTGGCCCTGCACGCCCAGCTCGGGCAGCACCAGCTGCCGGCTGTAGCGCAGGATCTCGTCTCGCGACAGGGACGCCCTGGGCGGCAGCGGCGACACCGGCGCCGGCTGCTCCGACTCCGGTTCCCGCTCCGCCGCCAGAGCCGCCGCCAGCCTCTGTTTCAGGGACTCCAGCTCCTCCTCACGCTGGGCAACCTGAGCCTGTAGAGCCAGCACCTCCTCCCGGGCAGCCATGGCGACGTCCGCCGGAGGCTGGCGCGTGCAGGGCATTTCCGGTTCCGGCTTATCGTCGCCTAGAGACTGGGGTAATCCAAACATCCCCGTGGACTTTGGGAAAAGGCGAAAAATAGATTTCCACGTGCTAGGAAACCTTAGGCTTCAACTTGACAGATTCTCAGGTTTCTAATATTTTCACTGGACCGCATAGAGGTCGGAAAGCGAGGAACAGCTAGCCGTCCCCCTCTCCCGGAACTTGGTACGGTCCGACCCGCCCCTTTCCGCGCGGCTCTTACGTAATTCCGCTTCCGGCGCCTCGCGCAGTTCCGCCATGGCCTCCACGGAAGGGAGTCGGGCGCTCCCCGGACCTCGGCGCGAGCCGGCGGGACGCGGGCGGCGACAGGACAAGTATTCCGTGCTCTTGCCGACCTACAACGAGCGTGAGAACCTGCCGCTCGTTGTGTGGCTGCTGGTGAAAAGCTTCTCCGAGAGGTAGCGCGCCCTGCCGGCCTCCTGCGGGATGAGATGAGCTGGCTTCCCCCGGCCGGGTGTCGGCCTTGGCCGCGCGGGGCGGCCCTGCCCGGCCTTCGGGTTCCCGCAGGAGGTCTTGGGGACGAGGCCAAGGTGACGGGAGCCGTGCGAGGAGAGCCGCGGCGGGGGCTGCTCGGGCTCGCAGGCCTGCCGTTGGGTTTGGGGGAGACACCCGCTTGTCTTTGTGATAAGCCCCCCCCCCGTTCCCTCCGCCTCCCGCTTTTTTGTTTTTGTTTTTGTTTTTCTTCTTAGAAGGGTCTGGGGGCGAGGCTGAGATCCTCCCTGGGCGGGCCGCACCTGCGGCTGGAGCCGGGCGCCCCGCGCCGCTTACGTAAGCGTGAGGTTCGGGCGGCGACGGGTCCGAGCCCCGCTGGGCACGGGCGCCTTTCTGGAGAGGAGGGGGCCGCAGAGGGTCCTCCCGGCGCCCTGCCGGACGCTGGTCGTGGTTGTCGGGAGCTGCAGGGCCTCGGAGTTGGAATTGGGAAGTGTTACGCAATTTTTTTTTTTTTTCAAGATCTAAGATCTTGTTACGAAGTAACTCGCTCTGCGGCGACAGAAACGATTCATGCTGTGGATACCTTTAAAGGTGGTTTTTCCTCTGAACACACATAGCGAATCGTTTTGAATGTTGGGCAATTTTCCGTATGGCTGTTACCTTGCGTCTAACCGGATCCTTAGATACAGCTTCACTTCCGTGGCCTCTCTGTCTGTTTCTTTTTTTAAAGCTGTCCTTTTTCCTATTTAGTTGTTTATCTTTTTATTTTGAATTCTGCAAGTCCTTTCCAAATTAGAGAAATTAACCATCGCGTAGCCAGTCTTGGTTCGGGTTTGTATTCTGATTTTGTGTGTTTTTATTTTGTTTTTGTTTTTGTTTTTTTCTGTGAGGTTTTTCTGCTCATGGTTTCCGGGTGGATTTTTTTGAAAGTCAGAATCAGGTTCAGTAAGGGAAGCAGACAGCTGGGGCTTCAGCGGTCACCGGCTGCTTTCTTCGAAGTGGGGTGGGAGACGCGGCTCTGCCGGAACCCTTAGCGTGACCAAACTGAGCGCAGTGGGAGGCTGAAGTCACTGTTTTTCACTCTGGGAGAACGGACGGGTCGCGGAGACTGACTTGAGAGCCTCTGTGGGTGCCGTGTGTGCGTCTCCTGGAGCAGTTCAAGAGGAAACAGCGTTGGGCCGTGGGGTTAGGTCTGCCTTTGGGACAGCTGGGGAGACAGGGTGGAGATCACGTTTATCCGTGTAGTATGTGTGCCCACGTGTTGCACTGGCTTGTTTTCGTAATGCAAAGTAACATGTTAATTCCCAAGCAAGGATGTCTTTCATAATTCTGGTCTTAATTTTACGGTGTGGGAAAATGGGTGCGATTTGAAGTAGTGGTTTAGAAGGTTATTGCCGTTCTAAACTGGTTTTTTTTTTTTTTTTTTTTTTTTTTTTTGGACAGGCAGAGTGGATAGTGAGAGAGAAAGGTCTTCCTTTTTCCGTTGGTTCACCCTCCAATGGCCACTGCGGCCGGCGCACTGCGCTGATCCGAAGGCAGGAGCCAGGTGCTTCTCCTGGTCTCCCATGGGGTGCAGGGCCCAAGCACTTGGGCCATCCTCCACTGCACTCCCGGGCCACAGCAGAGAGCTGGCCTGGAAGAGGGGCAACCAGGACAGAATCCGGCGCCCCGACCAGGACTAGAACCCAGTGTGCTGGCGCTGCTAGGTGGAGGATTAGCCTAGTGAACCGCGGCACCGGCCTAAACTGGGTTTTCTTAAATTTATTACTGATTATTAATCTCAGGATTAAATTGAAAAAGTGATAATCAGCTGTGGAGTTTGACTTGAGTTACTGTTTAAAGTACTTTTTGAAGTTTTTGAAAGAGGTTTATTTATTTGAAAGATAGACTTGGGGGCCAGATTGTCCATCCACTGGTTCACTCCTCACGTGGCCAGGCGGAAGCCAGGCGCTCCATCCGGATCTCCCACGTGTGTGATGGCCCCCAGCACTTCACCATCTTCTGCTGCGTTCACAGGCACATTAGCTGGGAGCTGGATTGAAAGTAGAGCAGCTACTGGGGGCCGGCACCCTGGCTCACTAGGTTAATCCTCCGCCTGTGGCACCGGCATCCCATATGGGCACCTGGTTCTAGTCCCAGTTGCTCCTCTTCCAGTCCAGCTGTCTGCTGTGGCCCGGGAAGGCAGTGTAGGATGGCTCAAGTGCTTGGGCCCTGCACCCGCATGGGAGACCAGGAAGAGGCCCTGGCTCCTGGTTTTGGGTTGCCATAGTCCTGCTGTAGTGGCCCTGTGGTGAGTGAACCAACGGAAGGAAGACCTTTGTCTTTGTCCCTCTCACTGTCTAACTCTGCCTGTCAAAAAGAAAGAAAGAAAGAGCAACCGGGATTCAAATCTGACTCAAAAACCGATCAGGAATGCCCGTATTGCAGGTGGCGGCTTAATCCGCGGTGCCCATGCGGGCTCTGAGATGTTTTACATAACTAGCATAGAGTCAAGGTTAAGAATTAGATTTCCAAAGGAGGCACGTGAAGATTTGAGTGAAATTTGGGAGTGTACGCCCACACACAAATTCTCTTCCTTTTTTTAATCTAAAAGGTATGTTTTCTGTGTGAGGGCTCTAATATCTTAGAACCTCTGAGTATGAATGCACTTTTTTTTTTTGCAGTGGAATCAACTATGAAATTATAATCATAGATGATGGGAGCCCAGATGGAACAAGAGATGTGGCTGAACAGCTGGAGAGGATCTACGGGTCAGACAGAATTGTGAGTGAGATGTTTTCCTGTCGTGTGAGTTGTGTTTGTGTTGTGAGGAGATGAGCTGTGAACAGTGCTTAAATTGAACCTGTGTGCCTGGAAACTGGAAATTTAAAGAGCAGCTTACGCTTGGAGTCCAGTACGTACTTACGGTGCTTGAAATAGACTCTGGAGTGTTGAGTCAGTGGTAACTTTACAGCAGGAGGAGTATTTGGATGAAGTTTATCTTTTTTCTTTTTTTAAGATTTTATTTATTTATTTATTTGAGAGGTAGAGTTACAGACAGTGAGAGGCAGAGACAGAAAGGTCTTCCTTCCATTGATTCACTCACCAAATGGCTGCTACAGCCGGAGCTACTCCGATCCGAAGCCAGGAGCCAGGTGCTTCCTTCCCGTCTCCCATGGGGTGCAGGGCCCAAGCACTTGGGCCATCCTCCACTGCACTCCCTGGCCACAGCAGAGAGCTGGCCTGGAAGAGGGGCAACCGGGACTAGAACCCGGGGCCCATATGGGATGCCGGCGCTGCAGGCGGAGAATTAACCTGCGTCACGGCGTCGGCCCCATTTTATTTTGTTTTTTAAAAGATTTTATTTATTTGAGAGGTGGAGTTACAATTTTATTTATTTTATTTATCAATCAATAAGTAAATTTTATTTACTTGAGAGGGAGAGGCAGAGAGAAATGTCTCTGTCTGCTAGTTGGCTCCCAGATGGATGCAGCAGCTGCAGCTGGGCCGATCTGAAGCCGGGAGCCTCCTCCGGGTCCCCCGCAGTGCAGGGCCCAGCACTTGGGCCGCCGTCCACTGCTTTCCCAGGCCACAGCAGGGAGCTGGATCGGAAGAAGACAGCCGGGACCAGAGCTGGCGCTCATATAGGATGCTGGCACTGCAGGCAGAGGATTAACGTGTGTCACAGCGCCAGCCCCTAGAGTTTATTTTGTAGTGGCTTCATAAATTTTATTTTTGATCATTGTTCTGGATTTATATATGTTTCGGTATACTCCTGATATCCTCTTTGGATAATTCTTGGGCCAAAAGCATGCGGTTAAAAGTGCAGATTTAGAGAACACATGGTAGGCATTGGGTCTTTTTTCGGTAATTTATATTGGTAATTTATCGTGGATCAGAGTTTCTCTGACTTGACACTTTTGACGTTTGGGATCAGGTAATTCTTTGCTGTGGGATGCTGCCCTGTGCATTGTAGGATACTTAGCAGTACCTGGATTCCACCCACCAGGTGCCAGCAACACCATCCCTTCCCAGCTGGCAACCAAAGATGTGTTTGGGGGCAGCATTTCATTTCCCCCAGTAGAGAGCCATTGGTGTAAACAGAGAAGTATCTTGAAACACCTTTAGTGATGGTTGGATTTCAGGAAATGGTAATCAATCATAAACGGTCACCAGTTCCAGATACTCTTGAACCTAATATAGAAGCAATAGTTTATCCAACTGAGTGTCAGGGCCAGCGCTGTGGCGTGGTAGGTGAGGCCGCCGCCTGCAATGCCGGCATCACATATGGGTGTGGGTTCTGGTCCCTGCTGGGCCACTTCCAGTCTGGCTCTCTGCTGTGGCCTGGAGGGGGCAATGGAGGATGGCCCAAGCCCTTGGGCCCTGCGCCCACCTGGGAGACCCAGAGAGGGCTCCCGACTTCGGATCAGCACAGCCCTGGCCGTTGCTGCCAGCTGGGGAGTGAGCCAGCAGATGGAGGACCTCTTTCTCTCTCTCTCTCTCTCTGCCTCTCCTCTCTCTGTGTGGCTCTGACTTTCATGTGAATGGATAAATCTTTGAAAAAAAAAAAAAAAAGTGAGTGTCAGCTGTAGGTCTTGGTTGGTGGGCTGACTTTAAGGGAAATGTGTATGTGCTGAATCTGTCCAGTGCTGTAGGTTTGTTTCAGATTGTCTCACAAACGAGTAGATCACAGGCGGTCACATCTCAGGTTCCCTCTGAAAACCTCCCAGTACACAGGAATACAGAAAGAGGTACAAAGTTGACCATTTTCAGTCATTTAGCAGAGATTTCCAGTGATACTAAGTTCATATTTTTGTCAAAAGTTCCCCAGTTTTTCTTCGAGAATCCCTGGGCCACAGGCCCTGATTGGCATTTCTGTGTATAAAGTACTCGAATGTTGTGTTTACATAGACTGTGGCAGTATTTGAGCACGTCTGTCAGCATCTCAGCCGTGGGGTGTGATTGGTCACTACTTTTAGGGACTCTCGCTGTCGGTCTTCCATATTCTAAAACACGGTTGTCCTCAAAGAGTTCCATTTTCCCTGTCAAGCCAGTAAAATTCAAATAATGAGAAAACAGTCATTCTTAATTTTTTTGCGGTGGCCAGTAAGATTCTCTCTGAGAGAATAGTCAGCACAGAAACTTGTCAGCTGCCTTTCAAACTGGCAAAAAGAACAAGGACCACGTGCTTTCGGAAACGCTGTAGGTGAGGAAGCGGCCGGCAGGCTCAGTCTCTTTGCAGGTGTCCCTGGCTGGCTGGGAAAGAGCAGCAGTGAGCTCACACCCGTGGGGCCGCCTGCTGAACCCCTGAGTGGGCACCGAGCAGGCAGGATGCCCTGGGGCACTTCCGCCTTGCCACGTGGGCGACTCCTGTTACCTTTGCTTCATGTAGTTTGTTTCATCTTCCAACTCATTTCCTCCAGATTCGCTGAGGTATAATCAGTAAACAAAAGCGTGTGTGTTTACAGTGTGCAGTGTGAAGTGGTTATCACAGCAGGTTAATGACCTCGTTCATCACTGTGTTACTTGGCCTTCTGTGTGACATCGCGCGTCTGAAGCAGGTGAGGGCACTTGAGATCTGTACTCTGAGGATTCCAGAGGTACAAGGTAGCATTAGTGTATCTGTAGTAGATCCTCAGTACTACTAGTTTGATATTATTTTGTGACTTAGTGTTTTAAAAACCTGTTCTGGGCTGGCGCCGCGGCTCACTTGGCTAATCCTCCACCTGCGGCGCCGGCACACCGGGTTCTAGTCCCGGTTGGGGCGCTGGATTCTGTCCCAGTTGCTCCTCTTCCAGTCCAGCTCTCTGCTGTGGCCCGGGAAGGCAGTGGAGGATGGCCCAAGTCCTTGGGCCCTGCACCCACATGGGAGACCAGGAGGAAGCACCTGGCTCCTGGCTTCGGATTGGTGCAGCGTGCCAGCTGCAGCAGCCGTTTGGGAGGTGAACCAACGGAAGGAAGACCTTTCTCTCTGTCTCTCTCTCTCACTAACACTGCCTGTCAAAAAAAAAAAAAAGTTCTGATAATAAGATGTAATACATGTTCATATATTTAAAACATCAGACATGACTATAAATTTGAGAAATTTGATTCCTTAAAATATTAAGCCCAGAGCCAGCATTGTGTTGTAGTGAATAAGGCTGCGCCTGTGACGCCAGCATTCCACATGGGCGCCTGTTCATGTCCTGCTGCTCCACTTCAATCCAGCTCCTTCCTGATGACCTGGGAAAAGCAGTGGAAGATGGCCCAAGTGTTTGGGCCCCTGCACTCACGTGGGAAACCCAGGTGAAGCTCCTGGCTTTGGCCTGGCCCAGCACTGGGTGTTGCAGCCATCTGGGGAATGAACCAGTGGCTGAAAGATCTGTTTCTCTCTCTCTCTCTCTCTCTCTTCCTCTCTCTTCCTCTCTCTTCCTCTCTCTTCCTCTCTTTCTCTCTCTTTCTTTCTCTTCCTCCCCCCCCTCTCCCTTTCTCCCTTTTCCCTCTCTCCCTTTCTCCCTCTCTCTCTCTTTCTGACCCTGACTTTCATAATACATAAATCTTTTTTAAATTAAACCTAACTATCCCAAAATATTAGAATATACTGTCTTTAACAGTATCGGTACCCCAGCCAAACAGTTAATTAGTGAAATAAGAACTGCAGATGGCATGTAAACATGAAAAAAGTAAACTGAGCCTCACTGATGAGAGAAGCATTTCAGAATAGGAGGAGAGTATAATTAGCCTTTCAACTTGTTTTGACTTTTTAATTTTTTGAGGGATAAGACAGAGAGCCCCTGTTTGCTTGTTCACTCCCCAGATGCCTGCCGTAGCCTGGGCTGGGTTGCGACCAAAGAAGGCAGCCAGGAACTTAGTACAGGCCTTCGTGTGGGTGGCAGGAACCCAGCTTGCACCATCGCTGTTGCCTCCCAGGGTCTGGATTAGCAGGAGGGTGGAATCAGGAGCTGGAGCCCCAAGTATCAACCCAGGTGCTCTGCTCTGGGGCGTGGGCATCCTAATCAATGTCTTTAACCTTTGGGCTGGCCCCTACTTTAATTTTGTTCCTTCCTTCTAACTTTGTGTTTTTGGAAGTATGGCAAAACTCGGATCCTGTTGATCTTAATATAAATTGCTAATTGTTTTTCTGAAGGATCACCTGGCAATATAACTTTCAAAAATATTTATACCTTTGTTACAGTAAACATAAAGCAGATTAAAACCTTGGCACGTGTAGTATGTTTTTAAGTATAGTCACATAACTTAAAATATTTTCTGCTCATCTTTTTTGAATACTTTCAGTGATAAAAGTTTTTGCGGGAGTCTTGTCCGACTGTAGTGTTTGATGAAGTATTTCATACGCAGCTGTGCCAGAATGCTTGAAGGAGGGTGTGCTCAGAGCTCCTGCTAGCACTGCGCCTGAATCCCCTGCCTGTTCCTCATGTCCGCCCTACGCGGGGAGGGTCTGCTTTGCCCCCTTGCCTGCCCTCGCTCACACCGCAGAGGAGCAGTGAAGCCGGATTCCAGTGAGGCAGTGCGGCTGCACCTGCCGTGCCATCTGCCTCCCCATGAAGGGGACAGCAGATCCAGGCCAGGAGGAGAGGCTTGGGGAGTGTGGGACAGTAAAAGTTCCGCACACGAAGTAGAATCAACTGGAAATTACTACAATGTAAATTTCATCATCTGTACCCCAGTTCCTTCCCCAGGGGCGGCCTGGCCCGACAGTTCAGCGAGCATTTTTCTGCATATATGTGTACCTTTTGTACACTACGTTGTGTAAGACTTACTTACAGGGCCAGCACTGTGGCGTAGCAGGTAAAGCTGCCACATGCAGTGCCGGCATCCCATATGGGCACCTGTTTGAGTCCCTGCTGCTCCACTTCTGATCCAGCTCTCTGCTACAGCCTGGGAAAGCAGTAAAAGACAGCCCAAGGCCTTGGGTCCTGCACCTGCATGGGAGACCCAGAAGAAGCTCCTGGCTCCTGGCTTTGGATCGGTGCAGCTCCGGCCGTTGCAGCCAACTGGGGTGTGAACCAGCGTATGGAAGACCTCTCTCTGCCTCTCTCTCCCTCTGTAACTCTTTCAGATAAATAAGTAAATCTTTAAAAAAAGAAAAAAGACCTATTTATTTATTTGAAAGGTGGAGTTCCAGAGAGAAATCTTCTACCCGCTGGTTCACTCTGCAGTGGCTGCAATGTCAGAGACTGGGCCAGGCTGACGCCTGGGCCTGCCACATAGATTGCATTCCTCTGCTTTCTCAGGCACCTTAGTAGGGAGCTGGCTCAACTGTGGAGGAGCCAGGACTCAAACCAGCACTCGTGGGATGCCAGTGTCACGGGCAGCGGCTTAACCTGCTGTGCTACAATGCCACTCACATTTTTGCCTTTAACTGGCAGTTTTCCTGTGTCATTTTAATTCTATCTTGGAGATCTTTTCACCAGATCACTCTATTTCTTGTAACTGTTCTATAGTGTTATATGCAACATTGTTTAATACTTTATGTAACTGTTGAACATTCTGAAAAATATGAGTAATAAAGTAATCTTTTAAAATTTTTTTCTAGCTGAAACAGTTAAAGTAGATATCAGATGAACATTAAAGATTTTATTTTTCAGGGCAGATATCAGATGGAGTTAGTATTTTATCAGTATTGAGAGACAAAGGTTTCCTCATCTGCTGGGACATTCCCCAAAACGCCTATGACAGCCAGCTGGTGCTGGTGCTGGTGCTGGTGCTGGACCAGGTTGAAGCTGGGAGCCAGGAACCCAAATTAGTTTTCCCACGTGGGTATCAGAGATCCAGCCACTTGAGCCATCACCTGTTGCCTCCCTAGGTTCCAGGAGCAGAGCCAGGAGTCAAATGCTCACACTCCAGTGTGGAATATGGGTGTCCAGGCCATGTCAACCACTAGGCCAGATGCCTGTCCCTGACACAGCTTGTTGTCTTTCTGTCTTTACGGACCTGTGACTGAATGTCTTGCTCTCTGTCAGTTCTTATCAGAAAGGAATGTGTTTATCTGTTACTGTTCCTTCCCAAGACCTGCAGCAGGCTGCCGGAAGTTCAGAATTTTTTAAATTTAATCCAGCTTGCATTAAACCGGAGGTGCTTTGTTGAAGAACTGCGATCTGAGGCAGCCTGACGCCCACCGGGAAATGCGGAAGTGGGCAAGACATGGTCCTGGTGAGTCTGCCAAGCTGGAGTCAGACATTTGGCAAACTTTTGGAACGTTTTCAGCCTAAAGGAAAAAAGCTGAACATTGCAGTAGGGATCCAAGTTTGAAGCAAAAAGGTTAGAAACCTTTTTGTTAACCTTGTAATGTCATCAGATCGCATGAATTTGTTCAAGTGTAAAATCAAGGGGCTGCCGCTGTCAGTTAGCCACCACCCACAACACCAGCATCCCATACTGGTGCTGATTGTCCAAATCCTGATCCAGCTCCCTGATCATGTGCCTGGGAAAGAAGCAGAGGGTAGCCCAGGTGCTTGAACCCCTATACCCATGTGGGAGACCTGGATGAAGCTCCTGGCTTCAGCCTGGCTGTTGTGGCTATTTGGGGAGTGACCCAGTGGACAGAAGATCTCTCTCTATAACTCTGCTGTTCGAGTCAATAAATAAATATTATTTTTAAAAGTCTGAAAGTTGATGGAGGAAGAGTGATATCAGCATTTAAAATTACAAAGGGAATTGAGAAAACAAACATGGTATCAGATAGTCTGAGAAAGTGAAGAATAATGGGTTAAAAGACTCAATTTCTTTAGGAAGAATTGTAAATATTGTTTAAAAATCACGAATCAGCTGATAGATGTGAAGGCATATTGTTTAAAATGGCAAATGGTGTTGTTGGCGCTGTGGCCTGCAGTGCCAGAATCCCATATGAGCACTGGTTGGAGACCTGACTGCTCCAGTTCATAGCTCTCTGCTGTGGCCTGGGAAAGCAGTAGAAGATGGCCCAAGTCCTTGGGCCCCTGCACCCACGTGGGAGACCTGGAAGAAGCTCCTGGCTTCGGATTGGCCCAGCTCTGGCCATTGCAGCCATTTAGAGAGTGAACTAGCAGATGGACGATCTTTTTGTCTCTCTGCCTCTGCCACTCCGCCTTTCAAATAAGTAAATAAATCTTTAAAAAAAAAAAAACGGTGGATGGCACCAAAAAAATATGTTTAAAATTTTGCCTGTAGGGTTAGAGTTATACAATGTCACTTTTCCTTAAAACTAATGGTTTAGGCCGGTGCTGCGGCTCACTAGGCTAATCTTCCGCCTGCGGCGCCGGCACACCAGGTTCTGATCCCAGTCTGGGCGCTGGATTCTGTCCCGGTTGCTCCTCTTCCAGTCCAGCTCTCTGCTGTGGCCGGGAAGGCAGTGGAGGACAGCCCAAGTCCTTGGGCCCTGCACCCGCATGGGAGACCAGGAGAGGCACCTGGCTCCTGGCTTCAGCTCAGCTCAGTGCACCAGCCGCAGCGGCCATTGGGGGTGAACCAACGGAAAAGGAAGACCTTTCTCTGTCTCCCTCTCTCTCACTGTCCACTCTGCCTGTCCAAAAAAAAAAAACTAATGGTTTGGTACCAGATGCTTTTTTTTTTTTTTTTTAACTTGGGCAAAACATGTGACACACACGGTGCCTTGAGGCCTGGTGTATGTAGGTAAATTTGTTAAAAGAAGTATGCGCTTACGTGAATGAAATACAATTAAAAATAGTTGGGTTTTTCTTTATTGGTGTTAAAACTTTACCATTTCTTATTCCTGCAGCTTCTGAGACCTCGAGAGAAGAAGTTGGGGCTAGGTAAGGAGAGCTCCCAACCCCTCTCTCATACCTGTTAAGATTATCCAGTGTGAATGCTCCCGTTTGGGAACAGGGCCAAAATGCAGTAACCTCCTGTGAGGGTTCGTAGTGATCGTAGTGACGTTTCAGTGGTTTAGCTTGGGTTGCCTGTGTCAGTCAGGCCCACTGAGGGAAGCAAGACCTCCCCGGAGTCAGTCGGTGCAGGGGATGCAATGCAGGGACCCCGACCAGCGGAAGGAGTTGCTGAGAAGCCAGAGGGAGCAGTGGAGCTGAGCTGCTGAGTGTCGGAGGTCACCAGCACTCCTAGGCGCGGGGCTGCAGGGGGAGGAGGTGGTGTTTTTAGGGCCTGGGAACCCAGGCCACCATAGGGAGCTCTCGATTGTAGATGGGCTGTAGTTGGCAGGAGCTGGAGCCATAGAGGAAGAGACAGAGAAGGGAGGCCACTAGGTGTTTCCCTCTCCCTCTCCGCCTGTACCTCCCAGAGCTGTGGAGGCCCGGGACATGTAATACCTTGTGTACAGCACCGCGTAGGGTAGGGCCAGAGGGTGGGTGTGAGGGCAGTGCATTGCCTTAGCTGCAAACCTTGCAATATCTTTTAACTTACAGGTGCAGAAAGTTTTTTTTTTCCCAAAAAAGATTTATTTGTTTGAAAGAATTACACAGAGAGGAGAGAGAGAGTATGAGTGCACACACGCATGCTAGAGCTTCCATCTGATGGTTCACTCCCAAATTGACCGCTACAGCCAGAGCCGTGCCGATCAGGAGCCAGGAGTTTCTTCCAGATCTCCCACGCGGGTGCAGGGGCCCAAGGCATTGGGCCGTATTCTGCTTTCCCAGGCCATAACAGAGCTGGATTGGAAGTGGAGCAGCCAGGACTTGAACCGGCACCCATATGGGATGCTGGCACTGCAGGCCAGGGCGTTAACCCGCTGCGCCACAGCTCTGACCTCTGGGTTGGTGTGCTTCTATTGTAAGATTTGGGAATATAGAGAAAGCTCTGCAGAATTGAAACCTACTCTCCTGGAGGTCATCAAATATTCGGGGTATCTGAATCCAGGAAGTTCTTTGGCATTGAAAGTACCTGAAAATTGCCGTGAAAGTTGGCAAGACTTTGTGCTCAGTGACACACAGAAACCATGGATAGTTGGTTCAGAGTGTTCAGAGCGTTCAGCATTGCCAGTAAAAGTTCTTGTGATGGTTTGAGGCTTGGAAATGCGGAAGCCCAGGTCTTGCTCCTGTCAAGTCCTTGAGTGAGGGACTTTTAGGCATGAAGATAACTGAGTAATTGCTGGCTACATCTTTGACCTCAAATGCTGGAGCAAGGTCCTAGTGTACCATGCTTACTGAATAAAGATACTCTGTGGACTGTTTTTGTAAACATGGATTTGGAGTCTTGGGAAGAACAGAAGCAGAGACGCTTGTTGGGTGGTAAGCCAGGAATCAGAAAGTAGTGTCTCGGGGCCAGTGCCGTGGCTCACTTGGTTAATCCTCTGCCTGCGGTGCCGGCATCCCATATGGGCGCCAGTTCTAGTCCCGGTTGCTCTTCTTCCAGTCCAGCTCTCTGCTGTGGCCTTGGAGGGCAGTAGAAGATGGCCCAAGTGCTTGGGCCCTGCACCCCCAGGGGAGACCACGAAGAGGCACCTGACTCCTGGCTTTGGATTGGCGTAGCTCTGGCCGTAGTGGCCATTTAGGGGGTGAACCAACAGAAGGAAGACCTTTCTCTCTCTCTCTCTCTCTCTCTCACACACACTGCTAACTCTGTCAAATTAAAAAAAAAAAAAAAGAAAATAGTGTCTCAGATAAAAGTGTAGATGAGAGAAGGGATTGACTGGTTTGAATCTAAGCTTAATAGGACTTAATTATAGTTTAGAAATCATTGGTAAAGGCCAGAAAACAGAAGACCATCCCTAGACATATGGGGAGAGGGATCGGGTGATTGGTGCCATTTCTTAAGTGGCCTGTTGCAGAGTAGGGGTTTGGGGGGGTGATTTTGGGATGTTGTGTTTGGAGTTTGAATCTACCAGTGGAGAGAACAAGTGGGAAGCTGACAGTAGAATATAGGGGTCTCTCAGAAGAGCACTGGCCTCTGCTGTGTTGTGGGCGGGCACGGGAAAACCACCAACAAAAACAGGTGTTTTAAACCATCAGTGTGCAATCATTTTATAGAATGTAAGATTTTTGTATCATCTCTATGCTAAACTGAAATATATATCTTTTAAAATACAAGCTTAAAAGATTTGTTTACTCACTTGAAAGGCAGAGTTATAGAGAAGGTAAAACAGAAAGAGGAGACCATCTGCTGGTTCTTCTCCAAATGGCTGTTAACAGCGGAGGCTGGGCCAGCCCAAAGCCAGAAGCCTGCAACTCCACCCAGGTTTCCCACACTGGGTGTCAGAGCCCAGACACTTTGACCATCTTCCACTGCTTTCCCAGGTGTGTTAGTTGGGAACTGCATTGGAAGTAGAGCAGTGGGGTCTGGAACTGGCGCGCATATGGGATGCCCGCATCACAGGTGGCGGCTTGACCCTCTGTGCCACATTGCTGCCCCCGACCCTTTTCTCTTAAGTTGGCTTCTGGATGGGAAGTGGGTTTCGAGCTGCTTTCTTGACCATGTTCATTATACACATTTACCGCATCCTGCTACTAAAAGTTCCCAGTTTAGAGGACTAATGTTTGCTTTTCAGGTTTGAAGCAGTTCCTTCCCTGTTTTGATGTATTCTAAAGCATTTCTGGTGATTCTCTTTTATGGATATAAATACTTTGATTTTTAGGAACTGCATACATTCATGGAATGAAACATGCTACAGGGAACTACATCATTATAATGGATGCTGATCTGTCACACCACGTGAGTGACAGATTTCTTTAATGGCTATTTGTGACAGTCTTAGCCTATTTTACTGACTTACTTACTATTTATTCTTTCTAAATTTCAGCCAAAATTTATTCCTGAATTCATTAGGTAGGTACTATTTCTAACATTGGAGAGAATTATGATTGAAACTGTTGATCTTATGTTGATTTTGGCTTGTTAGATTAAAATTGCACATGCTATTTTGAGTTTTATATCAAAAATACATATATTTGAACCTAATTAAAATGTAGATCTGACACTGTAATGATATGTATATATATATAAAAGATTTATTTTTATTTATTTGAAAGAGTTACTCAGAGACAGGAGAGGCAGAAAGAGAGAGGTCTTCCATTTGCTGGTTCACTCTCCAGATGGCCACAACGGCCAGAACTGAGCTGAAACCAGGAGCCAGGAGCTTCTTCCAGGTCTCCCACACGGATGCAGGGGCCCAAGCACTTGGGCCAACTTCCACTACTTTTCCAGGCCACAGCAGAGAGCTGGATCGGAAGTGGAGCAGCTGGAACTTGAGCAGGCACCCATATGGGATGCTGGCACTGCAGGTGGCGACTTTACCCGCTGTGCCACAGCGCCGGCCCCACTGATTGTTTTATGACCCATTCATTTACCAAAATTTGGAACCTCTGGGGCCATTGTTGTGTAGCAGATTAAGCCACCACCTACAATGCTGGCATCCCATGTGGGTACCGGTGTGAGCCCTAGCTACTCCAATTCTGATCCAGCTCCCTGCGAATGTGTCTTGGGAAAACAGTGGAGAATAGCTCAAGTACTGGAGCCCCTGCACCCACAAGGGAGTTCCTGATGCAGCTCCTGGCTCGGGCTTTGGATTGGCCATTGTGACTATTTGGGGAATGAACCAGCAGATGGAAGATCTCTGTAAATCAATCTTTCAAAAAAAAACACAAACAGCCCCTTTTAGTAGTACCATCAATGGAATGCTAAACATGAACACACCCTTAAATAAATAAAATTGGGGTCGGCGCTGTGGCGCAGTGGGTTAATGCCCTGGCCTGCAGTGCTGGCATCCCATATGGGCACCGGTTCAAGACCCAGCTGCTGCACTTCCGTTCCATCTATCTGCTATGGCCTGGGAAAGCAGTGGACGATGGCCCAAGTCCTTGGGTCCCTGTACCCACGTGGGAGACCTGGAAGAGGCTCCTGGCTTTGGATTGGTGCAGTTCCAGCCAACTGGCCAACTGGGGAGTGGACCATCAGATAGAAGACCCCCCCCCCTCCGTCTCCTCTCTCTGTGTCATTCTGACTTTCAAATAAATAAATAAATCTTAAATAAAAACTAAAAACAATAAAATAATACTCAAGTATTGCCAAAGAAAATGTGTATTGCTCTAACTTTTTTGGAGAGTACCTATTAGAATGCAAAGTGCTTGTTGACTGGCAAATCCAGTATCTTCCACGTTGAGAGTGATAAATATAAGTCTATGACTTTTTGTAGCACTATTCGTTGTGGTTCTATTGGTGGAGACTAGGTTGGGCCCTACCGTGGAAACAGCACAGAGGTGGACAAGCCCTTTTTGCAGCTGTTAAAGGGAAAGGAATAGACCTCTGTTGACCTGTGGGGATGTTTTGAAAAGAATAAAAAACAATTCAGGCTTGAAAATCCCACTTTGGAAGACTTTTCAGTAGTTCTGATTTCTTAGCATTTAGCTTTTTCTCTGCTTCTCTTAAAATTTCTGCTGGTTTAGCTTATGAAAATTTCTGTTCAGTGCTCACTAGCTTTTAAAATGGACAGCTAATTCAGTTTTTCCTACAGGAAACAAAAGGAAGGGAATTTTGATATTGTCTCTGGAACTCGCTACAAAGGAAATGGAGGTGTCTATGGCTGGGATCTGAAAAGAAAAATGATCAGGTGTGTATATTGCTGTGATCTCTCCATTTGCTCAGATACTAGGAATGCATTCATAATGAGCATGGGGATTAAATCCCCTGTTGCTCCGACATCTGCGGAATCAGATGTAGCTGCCAATCAGGAGCCCCAGCTCACTTCCCACCATCAGTTTTTCCTGTGATTAGTTGTCTTTCATTGTGTTTCATTAGGTGATATTAGGCATAAACCTTTGAACCTTGTTTATGATTTTATTTTGCAGAGGGCCAGCACTGTGCCATAGTGGGTAAAGTCACCACTGGCATCCCATACGGGTGTTGGTGTGAGTCCCAGCTGCTCCACTTCCAATCTAGCTCCCTGCTGATGCACCTGGGAAAGTAGTGGAAGATGTCCCAAGTGTTTGGGCCCCTGTCATCCACGTGGGAGACTGGGAAGAAGCTCCTGGCTTTGGATCCGCCCAGTTACAGCCACTGTGGCCATTTGGGGAGTGAATCAGGGGATGGGAGATCTCTCTCCCTCTCTTTCTGCCTCTCCCCCTCTCTCTCTGTCTCTAACTGTGCCTTTCAAATGGATAAATAAGTCTTTTTTTTTTTTTTTAATTATTTTTTCAGAACTTCAGTTCTGATTTAAGTAAATTATTTATATTTTTGTATTAAGTAGGGTTTCTCCCCACATTTATATTTTTACTGTTTTAATAAGATCAATTCATTATTTCAGCTTTCTTTCGGCAGCCAAAGTAGTGGAGCTTTGGAGTCGCATAGATAACTACCCTTTCTTGCTGCCTTTGGCGTCAGCTCTGCCATGGGCTGGCTGGTGGTTCCTACGCTGCCTTCAGCGTCAGCTCTGCCAACAGGTCCACAGTGCTGCGCTCACGCCTCTGGTGTGGGGGCTGGCTGTTGGCTGGTGCATTTCTGTTCTTCCTGGACGTGGCCTCTTCAGAAGACCAAACCAGCTCCTTCCGTGGGCCTCTGAGGACACTGTCCAGGGTGCAGAGACAGAAGCTCCAAAGCCTCTTGACTCCTGGGGTTTAGGGGTCCCTCAGGACTAGCTTTTTGGTCAGAACATCCCATAATCAAGGGGTGGGGAAAGGGAATTCACTTTTTGAGGAGAAGACTCACAACGAACTTCTGACCATTTTTAATCTGCCTCACCTACTTCCTGGGGTGTTGGGAAGGTGAGGTCAATCCTACCATCAGTATATTTTGTCACCCACTTCATGAATCCTGTGATCCTATTAAATTAATCGATTGCTTAACTGTTGAACCTTAGGACAGTCATTTAAAACATTTAAGAGCCTTTATCTTCCCTGAAATGAATAGATTGGTTAAGATGTGGTTTTTAACTCTGCTGAACATTGGAATCATAGGAAAAAATTAAGTACCATTGCCCTTGTTCACATCCATACCCTTTTCTCTGACATATGCATTACTATTTAAATGAGGATCTGCCAGGGTGTATCAAAAGCATTGGCAGTTCCTGTAGGCCTCCCAGGTAATTCTTTTTTTTTTTTTTTTTTTTTTTTTTTTTTTTTTGACAGGCAGAGTGGACAGTGAGAGAGAGAGACAGAGAGAAAGGTCTTCCTTTTGCCGTTGGTTCACCCTCCAATGGCCGCCGCAGCTGGCGCGCTGATCCGATGGCAGGAGCCAGGAGCCAGGTGCTTTTCCTGGTCTCCCATGGGGTGCAGGGCCCAAGCACCTGGGCCATCCTCCACTGCACTCCCGGGCCACAGCAGAGAGCTGGCCTGGAAGAGGGGCAGCCGGGACAGAATCCGGCGCCCCAACCGGGACTAGAACCCGGTGTGCCGGCGCTGCTAGGCGGAGGATTAGCCTAGTGAGCCGCGGCGCCGGCGCCTCCCAGGTAATTCTGTTGTGCAAACCAGTGACTGATCTCTAAGGCCTCTCTGAATTTGGTCATTCATATGTTAACTTAAAATTAGGGAGTCCCAATCAGAGACAAGTTGCAACTGTATCTGAAAAAGATTAAAAATATTTTTTGAAAGGCAAAGTGAGAGAATCTTCCATTCTCTAGTTCACTTCCCAAATGGCCATGATGGCCAGGCTGGGGTATGCTGAAGCCAGGAACCAGGAATTGCATCCGGGTCTCCCATGTGGGTGACAAGAACTTAGTACTTAAGCCTTCATCCACAGCTTCCAAGGCACACTAACAGGAAACTGGGTCAGAAGTGGAATAGCTGGGACAGACTGCACCAGCAGCAGCCTAACCTGCTGCACCACGTGCCCCCTTCCTTTTACAACCTTTTAGTCGGGTGATTCAGTTGTGTTAGTTGTTTCTGTTATTAGTTGTTAATGTTTGCATGCCTTCAAGTATAAACTCCAGGTCTCAGAGCCCATTTTAAAAATGCATTACCTTGAACAGATGCACAAATAGGCACACACCATCTTCTGCTTAAATCCATTTGGGAGGATAAACTATGTTTCTGGAATATTTTGACATCTACTGGAAGGGAAGGGGCAAGTGTTTTTGTTAGCCCTCAGCCCAGCTCTGTTCCCTAGCCTTGGTCTTTGTGTGAAGATCTTTGCCAGGCAGGCCTGGGCTTTGTCTCCTGGAAGTTCTGAGTCAGAGCCCCCTAAACTGCTATACTGCTGTACTAGGCACTTTCTCCAGGCTCTCGCCATCTTTTTGAGATGTTAATGAAAGCTGTTAGTCTCCTGCAGTTTGTCACTGATTGAGAGTTTAAAGCAGTTGCCCTGAGGTCATTGTTAGGGACCTAGGAGTTCCTTTCCCCAGGATTCATCTGCTGACACCCTAGTGTTGGTGTTGGGTTTACAGCCCGTGGGAGGTAATTAGATTTACATGGTAATGTCTTGGGGGTGGGGGTCCTAGGATGGGATTATTAGTGTCCTCCTGGGTAGAGACTGGAGAGTTTGCAGGTGAGGCCCTGTAAGGCAGGAAGAGGGCCCTTAGCAGGAACCAGGTCTGCCAGCATTGGTGCTGGATTTCCCAGCCTCCAAAAGCTGTGAGAAATAGGTTTTCCTTGTTCAAACCATCCATGCTGTGGTATTTTGTTAAAGTAGCTGAGCAGACTGAGTCACGGAGTGAGCTTTTGGTCACTCTCCCACTGGCCCACCTTTCTCTTTCTGTGGGCGGGGCAGGGGTCGTGTTCATAGACCTAGATGGAAACTCTCTTTTTGGGCCGACGCCGTGGCTCAATAGGCTAATCCTCCGCCTTGCGGCGCCGGCACACCGGGTTCTAGTCCCAGTCGGGGCGCCGGATTCTGTCCCGGTTGCCCCTCTTCCAGGCCAGCTCTCTGCTGTGGCCAGGGAGTGCAGTGGAGGATGGCCCAAGTGCTTGGGCCCTGCACCCCATGGGAGACCAGGAGAAGCACCTGGCTCCTGCCTTTGGATCAGCGGGGTGCGCCGGCCACAGTGGCCATGGGAGGGTGAACCAACGGCAAAGGGAGACCTTTCTCTCTGTCTCTCTCTCTCACTGTCCACTCTGCCTGTCAAAAAAAAAGAAAAAGAAACTCATCAGCAACCCCGATCTCTTGCTGTCTGACCAGACATCCGTAATCTGATAATGACGTTGATAAGAGTTTTAGTGTCTGTTTTCCTTTCTAACCTCAAGTTCAGAAGAATGGTTACATTACTAGTCCCTTGTGAATTTCACCATCAAATAATACAGTCCCTATTTTCTGAAAATTGAGAATCAGATATCCTTCCACTAAATATTTCTCTTTGTTCTAGAGAACTAACACTTTTCTGAAATTAATTTTGCATTTTTAGCACTCTTGAAAATATTTCTTGTTTAGAAATTGTATTTTATGAAGAAAATTTGGATGTTTTGTTTGGCAGCCGTGGGGCCAATTTTATTACCCAGATTTTATTGAGACCAGGAGCATCTGATCTAACAGGAAGTTTCAGGTACAGTGAAAATTTCTATTTATAATTTGCCTGAGTGTCTGTGTTAAAATGCCTATTTTAAAGAAATGCTTTTTATTTCTACTCTGTTTTTGTTCTGGAACGCTAAAAAGACTGAAGCTACTAATGGAGTATAAATATCTTAAAAAGAAATGCTGTGCTTTTTCTTTAAGAAAGCAGAAGGCATAACTTGGGTGAATATGCTTGCTAACATGAGTATTAAGGCTCAGGTTTACTCAACGTGCTGACAGTGATGAGGCATCCTGGCATTTCCCTGCCATTTATGTAAATAGTGGCCGCACTGTCCACAGAATATAAAATCTGTAGTATTTATGTAGAGGTCACTCAGTTACCTTGTTCTCCATGTTTAATTATTTTCCCCCTTATTTATCTGGACCAAAGGTTTGTGTTTTTAATGTATGGGGTGTGTGTGTGTGTGTGTGTGTGTGTGTGGAGAGAGCAAGCGAGCGAGCAAGGAGCGAAGGTGGTACAGTTGCCCTGAGCTACTTTATCTCACCATGCTGTGGACTGAAGGTTGCTGGGGCTTTCAGGGAGGGGTCCTGTAAGTACATCCCTTCCGATCCAGATTTGCGGCAGAGGAGTCCTGTGTGCTCTGCTGCAGGTGTCTTAGTGCGCGTGGCATCTCTGGGCTGCGGTTGTGGTTGTTTGGAATGGAGACCCCAGCACAGCAGGGAGAGTGGAAGCACCTCAGTGCCGTCGGAACCCCGGGGGGAGGGGGGGGGGAGGGAGGGAGGACACTGTGAGTTGTTTGGTTCTGCACAAGTGGCAGGGCAGCCAAACAGATTAAAAATGAATCATATTAATTTCACAGTTTCAAAAATAATTTATTGTCTTCCCATAAAAGTAATGACTTATTAACTACATGCCTTAAAGTTAGCTTGTTACTGGACAGAGTTGCTTGTCATTAAATCCTTAGATTTAGGAATTGGTTGTGTTTTACAAAATAAGAAAAAGACTGAGGAGATGCAGTCTGGCATAACAGCCATTTAACAGCAAAGAATACCTGGGTCCTAATTCTATTTAAGGAATCATTTGCTTCACACTTACGATTTTACTTACTTTTAAAGATACTGTGGGAGAGCAGAAGAGAGAGAGTTGGCAGTGAGGAGAAATTAATGTCTTGGTATAAGATGACTCTTCAAAGAATTCATAGCCTAATCCCAATTTTGAAGGCAGTACCAAGATACTGTACCGTTACTGTCTTTCCCACCCAAATCCCAATCCTCCCTCTGCACTTAACATCATTTGGTGTGTTACGTCTTTACTCGGTTTTTAGTTTACTCCAATATACTGCTGGCTGAATACTTGTTGTTTGAGTAAATATTGCTAATGTTATGTTCTCAACTTTCAATAGTTTTTCCAAATTTCTTAAAAGAATCCTTGCAGAATCTGTATAGATAAAGGAGTGTGTACATTAAGCTCGCTCAGGTTCTTCTAAGGGCTGTGCTGTTGTCTGATGCCCACTCAAAAGCCTCTTGAAAAGGTAGAGGAGCCTTGGAGGAAGCTTAGGGGAAACTATGAGTTCAGAGACGACCCTTGGGCTTTGTAGCTCTGAGTGGCCTTACCCTCGAACAGAACAAAGTTATACTAAACCGCTCCTCCTGGTTTTAGTTAAAAATTAAATAAAAAATAGTATAAATTACTGCCTTCCTACCCACTGAGGCTCTAAACAGATTCATCCTAGAGAGACTTCGTCTACTCCAGGGAGTTTCCTGAGGAAGTGTTGGGAAATAGAACTCGGGCGCACATGTTGATTGGGGAATGCCTGCTCCTGAGCTCCGGCCTGTCTGTGGCGCACTGCTGCTCCACCGTCATCTGTCAGCTTGGCTGTTCAATAGTTAGAACAGTGTCTCCTCTTTCAACTTGAAACATAGTTTAAGGCAATAAAAAAAATTAATGGGAGGTCCTTTATCAGATTCATTTTATCACAATTTATGATTGTGTAACAGGAATATGATTCTCTAAAAGATACTGAGAGTTCATTTTCAAAATTACTCCAAAATATTTAGGAAATATTTCATGGCCTTGTTCAAGACAAATGTATCACAGTCGTCAACTGTCTGAACATTTCTGCATTCCAATGGCTAGTGAAAGTTTGAGGCTTTATACATACCAGTGAACCTTTGTTTGAAAGTGCAGGACCCGTGTACACAAATGAGTGTGTTTATATAGGTGTTTACTATTTTCTGGTTTCTTACAGATTATATCGAAAAGAAGTTCTACAAAAGTTGATAGAAAAGTGCGTTTCTAAAGGCTACGTCTTCCAGATGGAGATGATTGTTCGGGCCCGGCAGCTGAATTACACCATTGCTGAGGTACGCAGCTGGCACCAAGTAACATGCCACATTCTGAATAAGAGAAAGCAACAGTAAGGTTTAGATTTCTTATTTAAAAAAAAAGTAACCTCCATAGCTATGAAGTTAATAGAGCCTACCAAGATTTAAGTAGAAGGAACTTTCCTTTCAAATGATGGAAAGTAGCTGGCACCTCCTGCGCCCCGGTGCTACCTTGTGGTCAGCGTCACGGGCTGAATCTGCCGCCCTCCCTCATCAGCCTGAGGCCCTGAACTGCACACTGAGGCCACTGCGGCCGTTCCCTGTGAATAGACCAAAGTGGCCAGAAGCCTGGCGCGAGGTGCTGGGACATTCACAGTAGTCAGGACTGGCTAGTGAGCTTTCTGCAAAGACTTCATTTAAGACGAAAACTTAAAACAAGAAAACAGCGTCCCTAAAATGCTAGTTCTCTTGTAGAAGTTACAGGATTTTTTAACTTACTGCTAAGTCACAGCAATGGCTAAAAGAGGAGGGTCATTTTACAGTTTTAAATTTGTACTTAATTTGAAAGGCAGGGAAATGGAGACAGAAGATCTCCTATCCTCTGGTTCACTTCCCAAAATGCCCAAAACAGCGAGGGCTGGCCAAGCCGAAGCCTGGGTTTCCCAGGGGGTGGCAGAGACCTGAGCGCCTGAGCCGTTTCCTGCTCCTGCCCAGGATGCACATTAGCAGGAAGCTGCAATCCCAAGCGTTGCTGGGACTGGCCCTGGCCGGGGTGTCCCGAGCAGGGCCTTGACGGCTGCACCAGACTCCATGCACGTGGCTTTACTTGGCAATAGGATAGTTCCCTGAAACCTGCTGCCTCACAGCTGGCCCTGTGTAAAGACCGGAGCTGCAGAGCTCCCAGGTCTCCACTCCTGACCTTACCTGAGAACCCAGGACTGCAGGACTCAGCCTTGGTCTGTTGTGTGAGTCACGGCGGCCTGCAGCTCTGGACGTCCTGTCTGGTGTCTTGAAGACTGACTGTACTGTTTTCTCAACTAGGTTCCAATATCATTTGTGGATCGTGTTTATGGTGAATCCAAGTTGGGAGGAAATGAAATAGTCTCATTCTTGAAAGGATTATTGACTCTTTTCGCTACTACATAAAAGACGGTTGCTCCTTTGTGCTTACCATGTTCATGTGAATGTAAGCAAGAGAGCAGCCTGATTACTGCTGTCTGTAAATGTACTCTTAGAGCATGAAGCAGAAGGGAAGGTGAATCCCATGCAGATACATTTTGTGGAAAAGCTCCATTTTATACTAAAAATTAAACAATTTCAAATTTACTGGTTGAATGGGCAATGTTCTCCACTTTGATTTATGTTTTGCTGTATTAAGACCTATGAATAAATGTATATGGATTTTTTTTGCATAAAATATTGACTTCATTAGAGCATATGAATCCAGAATTTCTTACATGAGAAAGTGAAATATTCCCTATATAACCTGGAGTCGTAGTTCTTTATACCTAGATTGTACCAGAAGATATAGGTTAAGAACATTCATGATTTCTGTATGAATTAAAAAATACAGACATCTAGCCTTTCCTTAAAATAATGTCTCCAGCTTCTCACAGCAGATTAAAGAGGACACTTGGAGCACACTGTTGAGTTGGGTTCTTTCTAGCTGCTGAATGGGGAGCCGTCTGCCAGTGAAGTGTGCAGCGTGTGGACTGGGAGTTGGAAGGAAGCGGGGCAGCAGTTAACTGCACAGTGTCTGTCTTCTCTGTTGAGCATAACCTCTATCAATAAGGAAGTACTGGTAACAGGCATAAACGTAGCAGTTACAGCGATTTTTACACATTTTACTGAAAACATTTGTTTTCATGCTATTTCAAGACCCTCCACCGAGCTCCTGTATCCTTACTAATATGACAGAATCTTCCCAGTAGCTCATATCTCCTGTCAGTTAAACTGCTGGGTAAGTTGCTCAGTAAGGCCAGGGCGAAAATCCCACTTACCAAGCTTCTCTAAAGCAGGTATTGAACCACAGAAATCGTAGCATAGCTTTTGGCTCCTGTAGTGTCTATGAAATGAGTAATGACAGTATGCTTGAGGTCAAGTGGACTTTTCTTTGTAAATAAATGTCTCAGCTATTTGTCATATTTAGTGAACAGGGATCCTAATAACTACATTTTCCTGAAGGCCTTCCGTTTTCATTTGTGTTTCTCTCTGACCCTACCAGAAACGAATACTAGACTTACAAATGCTTTGGCACCATTTTGAACATAAATCCTCTTCGTCTTCATCGTTGAACCTGTAATACACATTCCAGTAAGAGCCACCACTGTTGTATTCCCTTTTGCCCAGAGCTGTTCAGCTGGCCCACCAGGGAGCCTGGGGTAGTGACTTTTCCTCATCAGTAGCAACTGGAAAATTAATTAGTGCTTGTAAACGTGGTTTTGAGTTGTAATAATAGAAGTGTGATATCCTCAAGTGTCTGGGATATATTTTCTTTACCCTAAACCCAAAGTTAAGTGTTTAGTGTCCAGTATATGGAGCAGAAATGAGATAACCCCGAGACCCTCGGGGCGCTCTCCCGCCTCCCTAGACGAGCGACTGCCCTCGTCACAGACTCTGTGGGCGTGCGAGTGCGGAGTGCGTGCCAGCAGGGACGCTCTCGCACCGCTGGGAAACCACTTAGGAAGGAACCTGGACTATCTAGATGCCTTTGGGTGGTGCATCTGGTGACTGAAACACCAAAGTCACTCTCAACACTGACATCTGAATCCAGCATCTCTCTTGCTTCACAAACGTGGCCAAGGATGAAATCCAGATGTTCTCCGTTTGTGCTTGTGCTACCGTTGTACGGAGAGCTGTAGCAGGGAAACGCAAGGGACTCCGGTGTCGCCGCGCTGACTCTGGCCTGCCCTCCGGAGTCAGCGGGCAGTCTCCGGGCCTTGGCGTTGGGTGGCTTGCCTTTGCCTCCTCCGCCTTTGCCTCCGTTGTCCACTGCGATACTGACTTGGCTTCTGCAGATGTACTTTATCACAGTTCGGGAATTGGTGGCCTGCTGGCGTTCGAGCAAAGACCGATTGTTACACTTGCTGACTGAGGTCTTGGGCAGGGAGCTCCGTGTAACCGTTCACGCCGCTTGCAGTGGAGTTGGCTTCACTGGGGATGTGCCGTACGGTGTGACCCGCTCTCACTGCAGCTGGAGCAGATCACATAGTGGACTCAGGCGTGGGTCAGCACCATTGGCACTTAGGTTCAGTGCGTTTAACCGAAACTCAAGACGCAGTCTAGCGTAGATGCCTTCGGGAACGGGAGGCGGCCAGGCAGCAGTTGGGCTGGACGGGAGCTGACCGAGTACCATCCTCACTGTGCAGCCCCTAGGGCTGCGGAGCACGGGGCGTGAGGCTCCGCGCCCCCGCGCACTGGGGTCCCGTCTGGTCTCCTCGGGCCAAGGACGAGAGCCCAGACTGTGAGGTCCCGGGACAGCAGCAGCCTGCCCCGTCCACGGAGCGCCCCGCGGGGCTGTGCCCCGTCCACGGCCGAGCCGGGGTGTGAAGCACGAGGGCGGGAGGCGTCCGGAGCCTTCCCGCTGCTGCCCAGCCCAGGAGCGCGCGGGGCTGCAGGCACGTGGAGCCGCCCAGGCGCCCCGCGCACCCTCCCGCCAGATGTAGTCCAGGCCCATCTGGGCCCGCGCAGGGATCCCCAGCACGGCCACCTGACTGAGTGCTGGGCGTGCTGCGGCCCGCTGCTTCTGCCTCCGCCGCCGGCGCTGCGGCCAGAGGAAGGCGCCCGCCGAGCACACGGCCCCGGGAGCGCACTGCGGCCATTATCCACGGCGCCTCCTAGTGGGTCAATGGCAAATCCTGGTTCTCGCGAGAGCTCCCCTCAGTGGGGATTATATAATTTACCTTAGGCGAGGGTGGGGGTGCTGGGGGCACCCTTCCTCAGGAAAAGTTAGTTGCAAGCCCGGGTGGGAGCAGGAGGGTCGCCCCTGGGGGGCATGGGGGGGAGAGGGTCCTGCCTCCCCACCGCCCCCCCCACTTAGCTGGACAATGAGTCCTCTTATGCTAATGAGGCACTTACGTCACTTCCGCTCTTTCTCGGCCGCCATTTTGGCTAGGGCAGGTTCGGGGACTCGCTCCGAGGCGCTTGTATTGTCTGCTGAGGGGAGACGCGGGATCGGCCCCCTCCCCCGCCCGTTGCCGCCGCCGCCTCCGCCGGCCCGGTCTCCCCTCCGCCGCCCGCCGGGATCCATGAGCTGAACTCCCGCCCCCCCGGCCGCCGCCATCTTGTGCCCCCTCCCCCTCCCGCAGGCAACGCTAAGGGGGATTTTGGCGTCTCCTCAGACACAGCTCCCTCTCTCGGTCCCCGCTGCCGAGGAGCGAGAGGAGCGCGGCCGCCGCCGCCCGCCTGCCCGCGCCGGTGAAGCCGCCTCTCCCACACCCTCCGTCTCCTCCCTCCGCCCCTCCTTTGTCTGCACCGCTCGACGCCGCCGCCGCCGCCCGCGCGGGGACTGGAGCGAGCCGCTCGCGCCGCCGCCCGCCGCTCCGCTGCGCCCGCCGCGCCCCCCGCAGCAGCCGCGGCCGCGGCGCGAGCCGGAGCCCGAGCGCGACGAGGCCCCGGGCGCGCCCTCCCCGCCCTCCCCGCCGTGCCGCCGCCATCCGCCCGCCGCCGCCGCCCGGCCCCCGAGCACGCCGGCCCCGCGCGCGCCTCGAGGCCGAGTCAAGGTAAGCCCCGGCGCCGCCGCGCGCGACCCGCGGCCCGGCCCGGCCCCGCGGGCGCGGGGCGCATTGTTGGCGGCGTTGCCACTCGCCCGGCCGCACGCGCTGCCCCGTGCGTGCTCCCGCGCTGACGGCCGCCCGGCCCTGCTCCGGGGGTCCCGGCGCCGCCGCCGCCTGCAGCCCGAGCCCCTCTCCGCCCCGGGAGCCCGCCGAGGCCGAGCTGCTGCAGCTCGTGGCATCGGCCCCCACCCCGCCCCCAGCCGGAGCCGGGCTCCTCCGGCCCCTGGAGTGGCTCCCTCTCCCCCGCCCCCCGCGAGAGCCCCCCACGCACACCCCCAGTGCCCAGAACGAGCCTTCTGCCAGGTCTGCCCAAGCTTCGCTGGGGGAGGGGGCTGGATTGGGGGGCGGGGAGCACGCCCGGCTCGGAGTGGAAGTCTCGCCGCCCCTGTGCACCCTTGCTCCCCACCACGCCAGCTTCCCTGCCCTCCTGCCCGCCGCCCTGCTCGGCGCGGCGCCTCACGAGCCCTTCTGAGCCCCAACTTTGCAGAGGATGGAAGGAGATGGAATTCCGGGAAGCTGCAGAGAGGCGTTTGTAACGCAATGAATGGGGAGTAGTTCTTTGAGCCCCTCTCATTCACCTCTTCTTTGCTGTGGGCTGCCTGCCTGCTTCCCTCCCCACCCCCAACCTGGATGCTGGAAAAGGCGCGAGTGCTTCTCTTCCTCTTCTGTCCGAGACCGGGCTCCTCGGTCCGATGTCCTCTGGCCACACACCCACACCTCCCCGCACACTCGCTGTCGTCTTGATGCTCTTGCAGCCACCGGCTCCTCTGGGTAGTTCTTGTCGGAACCCCATGTCACAGACAAAGGCTTAGGAGGGAAAAGCACCCAACTGCTTCCTGTGTCTGCCCTGATGCTGTCCCTGTCCACACACCCGGTCCCATCCCTGAAGCTTCTTGTGCCCGTGTCTTGAGCCTTCGAGATGGAAAAAACAGAAACTCTTGGGTTGCCGGATACAGTTTCTTTATAAATCTGCATTGTTGCTTCTGGTTTATGGCCATGAAGAAAATACCAGCCCCCACCCAAAATGCACCGCAGCCAAGTCGGCTAAAGGCGATGAGTGTTGGAGTCAGTAGGGGGCGCATTCTCTGCACTGGGTAAGGCTGCAGAGGGGGGAAGGGCCCCCGAGCTAGGACAGGATGTGCTTCACAGCGCCTTCTACAGACCATGGGAAAATGGGCCCAGCAGGGCGCACACACTCGCACTCCGGGTTGGGGAGCCGACAGCAACATGGCGAGGAACCCAGGGAGTCAACTGCAGGGATTTGTATTTCTTTCGAAGAATCTACTACTCTGCATTTTAGGAGTTTGCTCTTTTTCCTTTGACCAAACTGTTGACCCTCAGACCGTCCACACTTGTCCATGATGAATCACCTTGGCCCATCTTTAGTTGACAGATTTCCTTCTCTGGAATTCTGGGATTCTTCCACCTTAAGCTTTGGATGTGTCAACATTTCTTTCCAAGGTCAGGTGGCAAAGGGGATGGTTTCAGAACCTGAGAGTGATGGGTTTGGGGCATTGGTGACTAAACTCCCTTCTTCATAGTTCAACTCTTTCCAAGTCTTGGAGAGGTAAAGCTCATTCTTGAGGGATGTTAGGGCTTTGCGGGGTAGTGAAATGTGTAAGTGTGTAGATGGGTGTCATGATTCGCAAAGCCTTGTGGAAAACATCAAGCCTGGGTTGGGTTCTTCATTGCCCAACTCAACAGACTTGAGTGTGAAATTGTATTCCCTTCCGCTCACTATCTCAGTAGCCAACCACCTTTGCAAAGTGTTGACACCGGTCTTCGGTGAGCACCCACCTTCTTAGGGTGTGTTGATTTCTATAGATTTTACTCCTCTTGTTATTTCCATAGGTGTGAGATGCACAGTGCGAAACCTAGGCCCCAGCTTTTGCACCATGATGCGCAGGGTTGTACTTTTTGTACTGCACTGATAGGTGGCCTAGTGGTTATGCCCTGTACTGCCATTTTGAGGATCTGGACTGCGTTTCCTGCCTTGCTCTTTGGACCACATTGTCAATTCACACCGGTGGGTATATTCATTTTGGAGGGTGGGAACTGCAACAACAGGGAAGCGAGACTACTTCCGCCTTGGTCACCACCAAAGCCAACACTTCCAAAATTTCAGCCTAGCCACATTCCTCAAGGAGCCAGTTAGAGCTGGTTGCCACAGTGGGCTCTTAACACCTGCGAACATAAGAGATGACTTATGGTTAAAGAGAGTATTCTTAAGTTACCAATGTTGTAATCATTTGCATTTTGCACTCTTGTGTGTAAAGTATGTTAAGTACTTACTTACTGTTGCTTTGATGACCAATCTCAAGAGTTGCTAAGCTTCTAAAAGCCTTTAAAGATCTGATCAGAACATGTCTTTCCATATACGTGGTCTCGCTACCAGATTGACAGCGGTTGTTGATACTTACAGTACCATTAAGACTTTGTTGCAAGTATCTTCTGTACCTAAGCTAGCCTACATTCATGGGAAATTGAAGGGGTGTGTTCTTTGATACATAGTTAACCAGTTGATGCTTAAGGGAGAATTTTTTTTGTTGTTGGAGAATTGCAACCAAGTAACATTTTGGTGAATGAAAATGGAGACAGCTTGGTTCAGGTATTTCGCTGGAGGCTACATGGCTTCTACAGTTCTGCGGTAATTATAATAGATATTTAATATAAATGGCATTTGTAATTTTTGAATACTGTGTAGCACTTGTTAAACATATAATTTTAACCCGTGTTTGGTTTGTGATATACAGTTACTTAAGTTCTTAAAATAAGTTATTTGAAGACAACTTCTTGTTTGAGGTGAAGTCTGCAAAGGAGCTTTTGTTTAAATTAACAAATTACAGATAAGACGTGGTGTTAACTGATGTCCTTAGTGGTAATGGCCATTTTCCCTTACAGGAAAACCTTCTGTGAGCTCTTAGAAAGCAGGTATTCTGCAGAGTTTGAAAGGTTTCATGGTTTTGACACTCAAAAACAACAACAAAAAGTGAAACAGTTGGACTTGAAGGCTGGAATTTACAATAGGTAAACTAAGGATTTGTTAAAATGCAGTGAAAAGCCTCAGTAAACTCAGAGCAGGAGGAATGGGTGTTGTGTTGTAGCGGAGACTCCTTCTTTATTCTGGTGCTTGTGGAACGCCAGCCTGAGGCTCGCTGTGAGGCTGCACCTGCAGGCTGACACAGACTCTGTGCAGAAGTGGCGGGCGGGCCGCAGATCTCCTGCTCACCGCTGGCCCTGCCTGTCCTGGAGATCACTGATTTTGAAATATATCTGCTGTGGATATGCAAGGCTCAAATTTCTGTTTTTCTTTCTTAAACTGAAGTGCAGGGAAAGTTGTAATAATACTGTGTATATGGAAGTAAAACTTCACCATGTTGGACAGATAGTTTTCAGCACCACCTGCGAGTTAACAGCCACATTAGGCTTTTCTCAGGCAAAAAAGGCTTTTAATTTTCATTCCAACACACAGGCATGCATTGATTATTTATATTTGATTAGATACATAGGTGCATAAGGTGTACTATAGGTGAAGTTGCTTTGCTTGTAACTACTTAAAAGTTTCAAAAAAAATGGGAAAACAATTCTCTATAGTCAGAAAATTAAAATCAAAAAGTTGATGAAAAATGGAGTTTATTTTGGGGCAAAAATATTTGAAATTCAAGCCTAGGTTTTTTTATAATCATGTTTTTCCTGACCTTTTTGAGGTATCCTTGTAAGTTGATTGATCATTTCATATGCTGACTGCAGTTTAATATGCAAGGTGGAGCTGTTTGTGATGCAGGGTTGAAATGTGCCTTTTCTCTTCAAGAGTCGTCGATTAGTAACGAGATTGTGTACATAGATGTGGTAGCAGACCCTGGCACAGTGACCCCGTTAATTGAGGGGTGTGCACAAATCACGACTTTTTTTTTCTTTAAGGATTTGGAAATTATTGCCATATTATTAATCAAATAGTCCAAGTATTCAAGTTGTAGCTTGAGAACAGTTTAAGTGTAGGGGGGAAAGCTGCCAGAATTTAACTATAGATTTCTTAAAAAAATAAAAAAAACCTGCTTAAATCTTGGTGAACATTTTTAAAGTTAACAAAAACATGAAATTTTAGTTACAGCATCGCACCAAGGTGCCGGTAACTGCTGTGCGAACTCTGTTAGTCCAGCCTGCACTTCCGAAAGACTTTGACTTCAAGTTAATGTCCTGCAGCCTCGTGGGTCTCAGAGGGGATGTGAGCTCCGTGAGGGCCTCCCTGTCGTCTGTTTGCGGGAGAGTCGTGTACGTTGAGCGGTGTTCATCCAGCAGTTCCAGCGTAGGCACTTAGAGAGCTTGAGTTATGCAGGCTCTTCCTTCCTGGTTGGTCTTCCTGGCTCTGTGAGAGCACGTGGTGGTAACGCTGGAGCAAGCGCTGTGTCTTGTTGAAGTCGCATCCCTCTCAGTTTGTTAGTGTGGAAACCTGGCGTTCAAGTCTAGTTGAAAACAAAACTGTGCTAGTATTTTAAATGTAAGAGCTATTTGCTTTTACTGTGTTGGCGTTTTCACTATTGAAACACTAGAAGTCAGGTCATCCATCCGTGTTTTGCCCGGGCGAAGTGGCCGTTGCCGCTTCCTGGGTTGCGTTTGCCTGATCCTGTGCAGTGGAGGGCGGGGAGGATGCGCCTGTTGCTGCCGCTCGCAGTGTCTTCGCGCTGCTCCCGCCTGTGTGTGTTGTCACCTTGAGTGAGTGCCTGTGTGCTTCACCCGGCGGCGAAGGCTCCTCTCACGTTGTCCTGCTGTTCAGACTGGGACGCGCTCATCTGAGTGGTTGTGTGGGGGCCTGTGCGTGTGTGTGCAGGCGGTCACAGGTAAGATGTGAGTTAGCTGGGTGCAGTGGCCGCTTTGATTGGAGGTGTAGTCCACTCAGTGGAGGTGTGGAATTCTTCCTGCTGCTTCTGTTCCCAGTTCCCTCAGCTGCCCGTGTGAGTTCTCTGCCCTCTGCCTTTAGGAGTTGTTTGAGGCGCTCTCAGCAAGCTTCCTTGGTGCTGCTGATCCCTACCTTACTTCCCCAGCAGCCGCTAGAGAAATCTTGGAGCCTCTCAAGAGTTTCAGCGGCATTCCAAAAATAAACGTTTGGAGAAGAGGAGAGCTCGGGAGACTTGGGAGAGAGCTCAAGGAGAAGACTGCTCTGAACAGACACACAGTTTAAGATTGAGCTTACGGGGCCAGTAATGTGGCATAGTGGGTACATCTACCACCGCCAGCATTCCATATGGGTGCCAGTCTGTGTACTAGCTGTTCCACTTCTCTCTTCCCTCCCCACCCCACCCCCCGGATTTATTTTATTTATTTGAAAGGCAAAGTCACAGAGACTGAGAGATCTTCCATCTGCTGGTTCACTCCCTAAATGGCCACAACAGCCGTTACTGGGCCAGGCCGAATCCAGGAGCCAGGAGCTTCATCCAGGTCTCCCACTTGGGTGCAGGGGCCCACGTACTTGGGCCATCTTCTGCTGCTTTCCCGGGTGCATTAGCAGGGAGCTGGATTGGAAGTTGAGCAGCCAGGATTTGAACCGGTACCCATATGGGATGCTGACATCAGAGATGGTGGCTTTACCTGTTCTGCCACAGCGCCAGCCCCTGCTCCACTTGTGGTCATCTTCCACTGCTTTAACAAATGCCTAGGCCCCATACCCACGTAGGAGACCTGGATGATGCTCCTGGCTTCCACCAGGCACAGCCCTGGCTGTTGGCAGCCATCTGGGGAGTGAGCCAGCAAGTGAAAAGTCAAGATTTAACTGGAAAACATGCTCATCATATAAGACGGAGTTACGCGTTATTTGACCGGCCTTTGGAATTGCAGAAGTGACCCTGGGTGTCTGCTCTCTGCAGTAAGGCTGTGGCCGTGTGTGAAGGCACTAAGCTGCGGGTTGCTTGTGTTCACTTCTCACGTGACTTGGTTGCTGCCTCTCACATGAAGAGCTGTCTCTTGCCGGCTGTTCTGGTGCTACAGTAGTGTGAAAGACGTGTCCGTTGTATTTTCCAGGCACTTTGTAAACCATCTCATTCTCTCGGGGCTGTCCTTGTTTCACAAGTAGGGAAGTCAAGGCACCATCGCATCCAGTGCACCACAGGGTGTGTTTCTTGGCTGCCTGGTTCCCAGGCCTGTGCTGGAACACAAGCTTTTATAGTGATCCTGGGAGCTGTTGGGATAATGAGGGCTCGATGCGTGCTTCATGATTTCATAGTGATGTTCTGTGTTTATATGTCAGCTTACACCCAAGGATCCCGAATGGGCTGTAAGTTAGAGAAGCTGCCCCACCCCCACACGAGTAGCCAGTTGTAGACTGCACAGGTGAGTTAGGAAGTAACCTGTCTTGTCTGAAATTACCGGTGTGAGGATCTGAAAAGAAGTTCTGCTGATGGTCCCTTTGCTTTTCCCAGTGCTTTGGTTGGGGCAGTGCTTTCCTTTGAGTAGTCTTTTTGCTTAGACGGATAATTGTTGGCTGGCTTTTACCCTTCCTTCTTCTAAACCTGTTATGCTCCACTTAGGAGCCTGTGCTGATCTGCAGTTCCCTTGACGATCTGTAAAGCTCTTTTCTGGTAAGAGCTAGTGACTTAGTGGAGAATTTGGTCAGCAGTCGTTGTTCCTGGTAGAATTTATTAAACTTTTTGTTTAAGATTTATTTATATGGAAGTCAGAGTCCCAGAGAGGGCGGGGGAGAGACAGTGATCTTTTGTCTGCTGGTTCACTCCCTAAATGACTGCAGTGACTGGAGCTGGGCCGATCAAAGCCAGCTTCTTCATGTCTCCCATGTCCGTGCAGAGGCCCAAGTATTTGGGTAATCTGCTGTCCCTGGCACATTAGGAGGGAACTGGAGCAGCTGGGACTCGATACAGGATGCTGGTGCCACAAGCAGTGGCTTCACCACTTTTCCAAATGCTGGCCCCAGAATCCGTTAAACTTTTACTTTGGAATTGTAAACTTGAAGTCAACAGTTAGTATTCTTGCCGTCGTAGAAGAGGCGAGCTGGGAGTGGAGGGCCCCAGGTTCAGG